GTGGGAGAATGTCTCTACAAAAAACGATAAACAGATAAAGCCAGATAAAACAGAGAAACAGATAAAGCCAGTGCTGATGTCACCACATTGTTGTATCCTCAGTCCAAACTCCACTTAGGGCCAGCCCTCTCAACCCCAATTAGGGGGTCTTGAAGCACTTATGAAAAATAGAAAAAGGTGCCTCCTCTTTGTGTAATATCATTTATTATCATTTATTATTGAAAACGTGTTTGTGAGTACATTATCCACTTTTTAATTTTGATCAAATTTCATTAATTTTCATTATTAACGATATTACACACGGAGGAGGTGCCTTTTTCTGTTTTCTGAAAAATCTCTCTAAAATGAAGGGAAATTCCCTTTTAAACAGTTGACTCTGAAACATGTGTCCCTATTGACAGTCTATTTTTTTTCAATGAAAAATTAAACATTTTGGATTTTCCATCACTTTCTGTCCAAAATACAATGATCATCAGGACCAATAGAGAGTGCTAATCTCCCCAGCAGGAACATAGACAGCATTAAATGCCTGATAGATGTACCATCCCTTCCACATTCCATCCAAAACTTAAAAAAAAGTTTGATTTAGATATTATTTAAAAAAGAAATCTTGGAATTTCAAAAACGTTCTCTTGCAGTGGAGCTATCCCCACACTGCAAGGGTAAAGTTATTGTTTTTCTCTAGGGGATGGAATAAAGCTGTATTACTCACTGGATCTGCCTCTTCTCCCCTGGGCCCCAGCAGTCTAAGGACAGCTGACGTCATAACATCTAATGCAGGTCTGTTGAAATGCAATAGACATAAGGACGCCGAGGGACATTCCAAGATTGCAGTGGAGGCAGAGAAAGGTGAGCATTGACTGTCGATGGGCCCAGGATCGGGTGAGTATATCTGCTATATTCCTGCCCTGAGAGGAAAACGAGCACTTACAGTAACCTTACAGTGAGGGGGTAGCCCCACTGCATGGGGAAGTTTTTAAAATGGCCAGGGTTTTTATTTAAGGGTTAATAGTCATACCCTCATATCAGTTCCAGCTTATATTAACTCTGCACAAATCCAATAGCACTAGGAGAAAAATATGAAATGACCCTCAGTTTAAAGTGGCAATAGCACTCTTATTTCTAGATGGACATAAATAATGGCAAGGACACCTGTGCATTTCAAACAATTGAAAAACAGCACAAAGATTCCAAAGATGCCATTTTAGTGCCATTGGTCTCTCACATGTGGGATTCAATGTGCAATGATGTAGAAAAAACATTTGTATTTTTCCCTTAAATTGCTATTACTAATCCAAGGCATTTTTTATAATTGTTGTTATAATTTCCTTATGTAGAATGATTAAAGCTATAAAAGGACCCTGAACGCAAAACCTATATGTAATTTAAATGAAAAGGATTAAGGCATCTTTGGCACCATTCATGTTCCAGGCAGAGATTTGTAAGATTTTTATTATTTTAATGTATTACATATAACGAAGGCTACATCTATTTTCTTATAAGATTACAATCACACTTGCGTTTGACGCTAGGGATAAAAAAAAAAGACATATGTGCTTTAGATTTAACTTATTTTAGACTCCCCAAGTCTAAAATAAGACTTATCTTCCCCAAGACTAGCTTGGTTTACTTACTTTATTTAGCACAGCTTAGAAATAATATAATAGACATGGAATGAACTAGTTTAAAGGATAATTATAATTAGAGCTGATGTATGGCACTGCAGTTGTCACGCGTCGGCTCTGACGCGTGACAACAAGAACTGAGTGATCACATATTGCTGATCGCACAGTTCCCAATCTTCTCCCTGCAGAGAGAGTTCAGTCATCGCTCACCGCAGAGATTCCCCCCTCCCCTCTCTGTTCCTCTAGCAGTGATTAAAGGGACAGACGGGGGAGGGGGCAGGCACATCTGGCTATGGCTCTAGAGAGGCAGAGACAGCTGTCACTCAGGCAGCAAGGTGGATCCTGACAATATTGTTGGAATCTGTCCCGGCTCTGTGCTGTCAGTATATAGCTGGCAATAGCCCTTTTTTTCTGAGTTTTGGGTCACAGGAGGACATTAGTAAATCTCTTCCTGGTTTGGGCCATAGCTCTCTTTTAATTCTGGCCATATTTCTTTCAATCATATTAACAAAGGTAGAGTTAACAAAGGCAATAAAACCAAGTGGATTTACTTGGACCAAACCTTATTACCCCTCAATTGTATCAGAAGAATATTTAGGGGTTGATAATGAAGACATTTCTAGTTTAGAGCATGCTCAGAACTGAAGAGGAGGATAGTTACCAGAATTATTGGGTAGCCAATCAAAAAAAAAACACTGACAGCATTCTGGAAGGAGCAGAGATGGTGAGTTGATTTTAGACTGTAATATAGACTGTTACTTAGCAATGTGAACATTCACATTGTTAGGGAAACCGTCCTTATTCATTTAGTAAATCAATCCATGTGTATATTAAGATTCTAAAGTATTGGGGTAGGACAACAACCATGAACAAGCCTCTCCAGAAACTAGGCATGATCCCCATTGATGAAGACAGACCTAGCCTCAAACAACAACCTTGAATAATAAATGATATATGGAACTAGGCATATGGCATACTGGATGTTGTTAGTTTATGGTTACTTGTTATAGTTGGGTTGACTGACTAAAGGCAAATAGGATTTTCACATTGCAAGGGATTTTGCACTTTGCAGGAGAATGTTTCCTTAATTTATTGAATGTGATGAAAATTGACTTTAAAAAGAATACCCAATTACATACGTGGATAATAACAAAAAAGGAGTATTTTTTCATGCACATGATTGGATGATGGAAGTCAGCAGAGTTTTACCTCATTCACTAAGCTAAGGTAAAATTCTCTTGAAAAGTGAACAGCCAATTTGCCTTCAGTAAATCCGGTTGTCTGTTCTCCTAATTACCAGTTCACTGATACTAATTTTTATACAATTTTTTTTATAATAATGGAATCATTTTTTAAACCTTTGCTTTGTCGTTCATCATTTTGTTGTCACAGCTTCCCTAAACCCTGCAGAAAAATATTTTAAATGTACCATCTACTAGACCTGCATTTTGCTCTGTGACTGGTTGATTTTTAAAGAGGGTTTTTATGAGTGTATTACATTCTAGTTTTATCTCTATAAACAATGAACAGACATAGATTACCAGCTCATTTAGTAATGCTATGTTACCAGCAAACTCCTTCCAGATGTAGAAGTGACATTTAGGGCAAAATGATTGACAATATATTCTTTTCACTCCACAAATCCATAGGCTACTTTTCTGTCATATTAGACAAAGATGCAATGACACTACCTGTAGATAATCCAAATTATCAACAGTAATTATACTGCAGTGAAACTGTATAGTGTAGAGTGATATTCCTCAACATCACTATAAACAAACAAACAAGGATAACAACTACAGGCTACTAACACAACGTTATGGTGAATGTATAGTGGTTTAGTACATATTTTATTTATTTATTTATTATGATTTGGTCTAAAAAAATGTACATTTTAAAAATATAATTTATCCAGTTTTAGACTATTTTTACCTGTTGAAATGCATCTCCATACAGGTTATTAAAAAAAGAATTGTTGACAGAGATCAAAAGCTTATGCTGCAACTTACACACAGAGCTGGAAACGTTATCACAGTGACTTATCCTTTATTGGACAGCACAGTCTGAAGTTTCAGTCAAACATATGCGACCTAAAGGCAGGCAGCTACTGCTGTGCTGCCCACCAATAGTGCAGTGGGAATCCTTTGTTAGCTATTAGATGTCACTTTATAAATAAAAGGTTGTAAAACATAAATGTAAAGAAAACAAAAAACACCTGAAACCATTATTCATTTTATTTTTCACTTCAAAAAACAGAATGCTTTCTACCTTAGCTTCCTGTTGCAGTTTAATGTTCATATAAATTCTCTGCTAATTTGGAGTACCTATCCAGCATCCAATGCAAAATGATTCAAATGTAAATAGTAGAAGCCAACACTAATGCTGCAAAATCCCCTCGTTAACCCAAAATGTTCATGCCAGTCAAAGAGTATGTTATTTACTTCCAATTATTGCTTCACTGTGAGGGTCAACATTCAGGCTTATACTTACTAGGTTTGGATGTTAATTACATATGTCTCCTATGTTAGTTGTGCAGTATTCCAGTCATACTCCAAGTGCTCACACTTATCAGTGGGAGCCCACTAGGAGATGCAATATAAATCAATGGGCAGACACAGCCCAAATGTTGCATTAAACATTTATAGTGGAAAATCATGAAGTCTTTGTCAGTGAATATGGCTTTGTGCACTGAGCCATTGCAACCTCTTAGACTTGTCATTTGGGGTGCACTCAGTGGGAACTGAAAATAGGCCTAAGTACCTCCTTTTAAGAAAAGAGATATACAAAAAAAATATGATTTGCTTATACTGTATTTATGTTGCTATACGTTGATCTGCAATAAGCACAATTTCAACTACAATGAATTTGGAACTTTAGAAAATAAATCTGCTCTGATTTTCAAATGCTATTGGCTGGTCTTGGTATCACTCACTCATCTGCAATAAACGTCACCTGTTTCTACTATGACTGTCCCCATAGTGTACTGACAGCAGTAGGACACGCCTGGCTAAACAACAAGCTGGATTGAAGGGAGACCATTTATATAAATATGGTTCAATTATGGAAAATACCAAAACACACATCTCTGGCTACTATAACTTGGCACGTGGCACTGATCATGTTTTCATGCTTTGCTTGTACACATCCTTTAAGCCTGCCCTACCCATTATTACACTTCTGTGCCCACTGTATTCTCACACCATTCCAGTGATTTTGTTAAACAGAATTTGATTATCAATCTGTTGTATGATCAGGTCAAATTTCCACCGCAGACTTGATGACATATTACACATTTCATTTTGATCATATTTCTTCTCTAGTGCCTGCAAGTTAAAAGGATATTGCGTTACCCCATGGGATCTTCAGAATCCTTACTTCTAAAAGATATCCTTGTGATGGTTTCTCTGTTCAACATCCTGTTGAGAAATGGATTGGAGTTTTCCGCCACCTTCAAAGAAGGAGACCCCAGAATTAGTATTTGTAATGTAGTGAGAATAAAACATATATATTTTTTTTTACTCCAAATATATTCTGATGTAAAAATTCGGAGTTGAACTCATACATGATTCATTATGCAAATGCAGAAGTCTATGCAGTTATGTTTTATTTTGATAACGTTGCTTTAATGTACGATGTGCAAAAAGATTGGAAATGAAAAAAAGAAACTACTACAAATGTGCTGAATTCGTATAAGCATTCATTATTTTGTCATCTTAGCTTTCTGAGATGCAGTTATCATCTAAATCTCAAGATGCAAACAGGAATCTGATTAAATATCTGTTTGCTAAAATATGTTTTCCTACTCATAGACTCCCAGTTCTCCTCTAGCATTATGTTACTAAGATAAACTCTATACAAGTCATGAATGATGAAAACTAAAGGGAGGAGCATTTACATGTAGTAATTCAGTAATGAAATGATAGTTTCTTTCTGAATTAACGGAATTCAAAATGTAATTGTTTGTAAAGCCTTTTTTTTCTCTAGCTAGGAAATGGATTAAACCCCTAGCAGGTTATTTGTTGCTGTCATTGTTTCCCTTCACTTCCTGTCCTCGTGAAACAACAGGAAATTAGAGAAAATGTACACAAAGTGAATAGAATTTCCATCTTGGGCCCATTTCACACAGGCATCTTCAGTTCTGATCAGGAGGGGATCCGTGCACGGATCCCCTCCTGATCGGAACAGATGTCATTGTTGTGACATCTACGTCCGTCCAGTTTTTTCCTCCATCTTGCAATGAAGGAAACATTTTACATTTCCGGACCCATGTTGGTCTATGGGGAGTCGGAATTAAAAACAGACATTGGTCCATTTACAATCAGATTACCCCTCATCTGGCAAGATCAGGTCCAGTAAAACAGAACACAGTTCTGTTTTTCCTGACCTAGCCAGAGTCGGGGGTAGCGGATATTTACAGATGCCTACCCGGGTAAAAAGAGGGATACATTTCCCCAGCACAGACAACAATAAGAATCTGACAAAAGGTCTAACTCTTCTCTAATCTATTCAACATTGGTTAAAAAAAATGCCTTTACATACACTTTAATTGTGGTGAAGCCATTTTAATAATGATTTATAATGTACAGGGAATAAACAGTGTGATTTGCAAAACAAGCAGTCACTTTGCAAGTTCAGGGCAAATTGACAGTTTCTCTTGCAAGAAGAGCAAGAAAAGAACTCACAGTCATTTTCCCTGTGCTCCCTCACCACTCCATTCCTCTTTCAAAGTGCTGACTTCTAGCCCAGTGTAAGCTTCTTGTCAGATGGCGTTGGAGCTTACGCTGGGTTAACTACTTTCTCCTGCTCTTCACCAAAGGCTAGGTTGCCCTTTAGCGTGAGCCTGAAGGGATCCGAAGATTTCAATAGCAAGCAGCTCCAGATGCCTTCCCACTTCTTTAACTAAGTTGTGAGTGCTCTAAATCCCAGGCAAGCTCTGGTATCCAGACATCAGTTAGTCTTCCAAGTTAAGATCCTTACCCCACGCCTAACTTCAATGTGGCTCTATTGACCAGTGACTGGGGTAGCAATCAAGAGGGACTAGGTTCTCATTCAGGTAAACTGGTCAATATTCTGCTTACAGAATCAGTTCACTCTATAGCTATGCTGAGGTAGCAGACAGACACTTGGAGGTGCCTTCTATGAGGCAACAATGCCACTTTAGAATCCTGAAAGTGATGCTAAATGCAGAAGTTAAATTTTAAAAATGCATTAAAGTATCTTAACTAGTAACAAAACTGTATCTTATTTGTGCATCACCCAGCTGTAAGTCCTCTAACCATCTCTGAACTTGTGCTGACATTATCCTTCCTTCTGGAGGGTGGCTACGTTTGTTACCCATGGTCCTGTTTGTATTGTAAAGTAGCCACTGCTCCAAGCGCTGCTGTAACTGGAATCTTACGGGTATTATGGTGGCTCTGCTTTGTGTTGAGCTGACTGTGTTGGGTTTTTTCCAGGAGTGTTTTAATCAAGGCACCTTCTTCACCACAGAAATAAGATTTAAATATGACAATGGCATGCGAGTTCTGGAGAAATGATGGTGGCATTGTGTTCGGTGTCTGTGTTTGACTTCATTATTTCCCCCAGTCAGGTTGGGGTTCAAAGTTCTCGTTAACATCATACAGAACATAATATATGTGGGTTAAAGTTAAAAATGTAGTTTCTAATATCAGGTTAACGATATGTTTGTGTGTGTTTGTGTACATACTGCATGTGTGTATACCGTCTTTCCCCGAAAATAAGACACTGTCTTATATTGTTTTTGCCCCCAAAAAACACACTAGGTCTTATTTTCAGGGGATTACATATGCAGTATATATAGATATATAAAGAGATATAGATATAGATATCTATATCTATATCTCTCTATATATCTAGATATGTGTGTGTTTTTTATATACTACATTTGACAAAACCCTAATAACTTTTTCCTAGTTGTGGTTGTTGCCACTGTGTCCCTCCTTTCTGTTTTTTCTATACCTGTTTTTTCCTTCCTTTGTTGGGTGACTGATGTTTAGTGTCACATCTTCATGCTTCATGTAGGTAGATAGGCCCACCCTTATCAGTTATAGACTGTTATCAACAGGGCTGGTGTAAGTTTAATATACAGTATATTAACAGCCATTTTGCTTGTCTGTTGAACGTTTTTTAGTGTTTTTCACAATGTGGGTTTTTTGTAGGTCTTTGTTTAGCTGTGGAAAGTAATAATTTCTAGTATAAAATTTATGGATTCTTAGGAAATTTGATTTATTTTAACCTGGCTGGAGTATTATAAAACCCATCTTAAAATCAAATCAGTAGAAGGTCCCTTGATGGTGGAAAATTAAAGATTTCTGATCAAGTGACAGATTTCTATTTTTCTTAAAAACCATCCATTGTGTGAAAGGAGGAAGCAAATGTGGCCACTATTACAAGTAAAATAAAGGCTAACATACATGTTAATTTTTAAGAAATCAAATGATAACTGTATGTCACATCTCCATGCGTTCCATGCATGCAGTACCTGTCAAAAGTACCTTTATAAAGAGCAGATTAAATACTACAGCATCAAGAAATACATTTTTTAGATACACATTTATCTAATAAAGTAGCTAAATCATAAGGCAGCGTTATCACCAAGGGATTGAAGGTAGAGATCTTAAACTATTTTCTGCACATTGCAATGTTTCCTCAGCTATCTGCTGGCAGAAATACCTTGTTTTTCTGATATGAAGACCTACCTAGCAATAGCAGGTTGACACAACAACGTTCACACCCTTTGGCTCTGGAAGGTGCTAATCTGCTAGCAATATCAACAAATACTATAAAAGGATGTTCCTAAGGAAACAGAAATTGTCCACATACTGGCTTTATTGCAAAGTCGGTGTATACCTTTTATGACACAGTCCCTCAATGCCAGTGTCGGGAATGGATTTAAAAACTGCCAATAAAATGATTTCCCCATGGAATGCTGCTGTAAAATAAGCCAGCAATTTTACATTTTTTTCTGAGAATATTATACTCTTATGTTTAAGCCTGTGAAAACACAGCTAGAGAAAAGGGAAATCGAAAATACCTGTATATTGTATATTGGTGGTCAATAGTAACTTCTGTGTTTTGATTCTCTCTAATTATCCATCCGAAGGTACATTCTGTCCCTTGTCCACCCTTCGCTTGATCGTCACATTCATACTTATAAATGTGCAATATATTTTGCTCTCTTTCTTTTTCCATATCTAGCTAGCATAATATTCGTCTTCTGTTTCAGTGTTCTACACTGAAGATCGGACGCAGCTTATGCAGGATCAGTTTAAGGTGCTCAATAAGCCTGTGTGTTGTGGAGACCAAAGTGAGCTAATGTTTGAAAAGCTGAGTACAGTGAAGAGTGTGAACTTATTTTGCAAAACAAGATGACCTAAAAGCTTAGCCTAAAAGCGTAACTCCTGCTGTGGCTTGTAAAACTGCAATGTAAAGATAAATATGAAACCTTGCTGGATTCTTGTTACCTTGCTAAGACCCTTTTTCGCAGCCCCTGCTGCGATTTTCATCTGCCCCTGGTATCCTCCATCTGCCCCCCTGAGATTCTCCATCTGCCCTGCTGTGATATTCCATCTGCCCTGCTGTGATCTTCCATGGCTCCTACTGCAATCTTCCATCTCCCCCTGTGATCCTCCATCTGCCCATGGTAAGATCTTCCATCATTCCTAATGCAATCTTCTATCTGCCCTGCTGCGATCTTCCATCTGCCCTGCTGCGATCTTCCATCTGCCCTGCTGTGATCTTCTATCAGTCCTACTGCGATCTTCCATCGGCCCCCTTGCGATCTTCCATCTGCCGTGCTGTGATCTTCCATCGGTCCTACTGCAATCTGCCATCTGCCCCTGAGATCCTCCATCTGCCCCTGGTGCAATCTTCCATCAGTCCTACTGCAATCTTTGCAATCTTCCATCTGCCCCCTGAGATCCTCCATCTGTCCTGCTGCGATCATCCATTTGTCCTGATGCAAACTTCCATCTGTCCTGCTGTTATCTTCCATCTGCCCATGATGAGACCGTCCATCTGTCCTGCTGTGATCTTCCATCTGCCCCTGCTGTGATCTTCCATCAGTCCTGCTGCGATCTCCTATCTGCCCCCTGAGATCCTTCATGTGCCCCTGCTTTGATCTTCCGTCTGTCCCCCTGAGTTCCTCCATCTGCCCTGCTGTGATCTTTCAACTGCCCCTAGTGCAATCTTTCATCAATCCTACTGTGGTCTTTGCAATCTTCCATTTGCCCCCTGAGATCCTCTATCTGCCCCCCTGAGATCCTCCATCTGCCTTACTGCGATTTGTCATCTGCCCTGCTGCAATGTTCCATCAGTCCTACAGTGATCTTCCATCTGCCCCTGCTGAGATCCTCCATCTGTCCTGCTGCGATCATCTATCTGCCCTGCTGCAATCTTCTATCAGTACTGCTGCAATCTTCCATCAGTCTTCCTTATGCCCCCTGAGATCCTCTATTAGTCTGTATTATTTTAGAAACATGTCCCTTTAAGAAAAAGTATTAGTAATTGGTATTGGTGAGTACTTGAGGGAAATTACGTAAAAAATGGTATCGGTGCATCCCTACTAATAACTCCTGCACTGTGAATAAAAGCGAATGCGGAGTCTCGCACTGAAGCTACAACATTAAACACTACATACACTACATACCAGTGCTCTCAAGTACTAGCCCACAGGCCAATTGCGGTCCGCAGGCTGATACTATGTTGCCCGCAGCCAGCTCACAAGTCAGTTACACGGTCGCGGACCGCGGACCTGACTTGCAGGAGCAGCTACACGCTCTGCATCTCTGGCGGATGCAGACCGCAGAGCTGCTCCTGTCACCGCTGGAACTCGGATCCTTTTGGCTGGAGCTCAGTTCTGAACCCCGGCCGAAAGAAAGGATGGATTAGTGAGGTCTGCAGCAATCACCCACTAGAGCACCAGGGATCGGTAGTGCCTCCTCACAGCCTCTTCCCTGCAAAAAGGTAAGGCTCTGTATTTTATTTTATGTGCGGGGAGGGGGTTGTTATATATATATATATATATATACATAT